TCCTCCATGCGCAATACTCTGGTCTCACGCTCTTGGCTGCCGCAGATAATCTTCAGGAACATGACGTACTCGCTAAGTTCGCTACTACGCCCGGCGAGCAGCCAGGAGATGTCTTCGTCGAGGATGTGGACTTTTGGGTTTCCTCCAAGTAGGTATTCACCTCAAATTCTGGAGAATAAACATCTGAATGCTATAGGGATCTCATCATCTTCCAGACCAAGCCCACCCCGTTCGGTGTCTCCATCACTTACCCCGCCATTGGCCTCCACGCAACCATGAAGTACAAGTCAACAGTTCCAGCCCTTTACATGAACGTGTCGCTCAACGACGCTGAGACCGTCAACAACGAAGAAGACATCTTGACCCTCGAGTTGACCATCTTGCCCCCCAAGTACGCTAGCAGTGACCCTGAGACTGCCTGCATTAGCGAGATCTTCAACGCGATGAATGCGTGCGCTGACCTGCACCCTGATCCGAACAATTCGGATGCAGAAGATGAACCGGACGAGACGATGCCGGGTGCTACCGGTTGGATCACCGCGGATAATGTGGACCAGTACTTGGATGAGGACGGCAACTTCCACGGCACCGTCATTGGCGGAGAAGAAGAGCTGGGACCTGGTGCTGGTACGGTTAGGGCTCGTGATGATTTGAATGGTGTCAACGGTGTCAACGGAGACGACCATGAGAATAAGTATCACCGAATCGAGTAAGATAGCAAGATTCCCAGAGGTTGAAAGAATTGGTGAACCTTGATAATGGTAATACGGCGAATTGAATACGCTCCGAACCGTCTGTGAGAAGTTCGACTTCCCAGCACGCCTATAGAGCACCATCTGATACCCAGATAAATAGCCGTGGGTGTCACCCTCCCATCAGAAGCTTACATGAAGCTTACCACAAGTAGATTTCTCGATCGAGTATGAATCATGAACAAATCAAAATCAAAATGCAGTTACAGCTCTACTCACTTACGTGTCTCACTTGTATACTGTCGAGAGGATTCAACCTTCGATCCCTGACCGCTCCCCTGCGCCACAACAATTTCATGATACGCAGGTGGCGGAGATCTATACTTCGCATCCCACTTGCTCCCAATACTCGCTTCCTCACCTCCCGTCTTCTCCGAAACCAAGTCTGTTTTATTCCTCCTACCCAAGAACCTCCATGCCATATACACAATGCCTGAAATCAGCCCTGTTCCCAACAGCGCGCCGACAATAACATACATATATTCGAGGTCTCCACCTTCTTTCGGCCCTGGAGTCGCTATCGGTATCGGCGAGGATGTTGGGGTCGCAGACACTACCAGGCCGAACTCCTTGCCCTCGGGCACCTCCTCATTGTACAGATACGGCACCTCCCTCTCTCCACGACTGACCAGGAAGGTCTGACTGAAATCCACACCCAGGTCTTCTCTCAGCAACAGCGCAAACAGACACACAGATATGGCACTCTCTTCTTCCTCCGGCCATGGAATTCTCCACTTCAAATCGGCCTCTGGATCTCGGAGCTCGGCCGTAGTATTTCGCGTAGGATTCTCCGTGTAGTTCTCACAAGCGCCCCATGCGCTACCCTCGTCTTCTTTTGAAAGCGTTGGACAAACTAAACAGTATGCATTCAGGCTGTAGATCTCATTCTGGACAGATTCGGACCACCGCGGTTCGACGATGTCGTTTGCGCGGAGTGAGGAGCCGAGGGAACCAAAACCTGAGCGTGGAGGGGAGGAGAGCGATGTGTGGATGAGATTGAACGCGTTCGTTGAGACAGCGAGGTCCGCGGTGTAGTTTACTAAGGTAGAGGGCAGCGCTGGCGAGGGGAAGGTCCAGACGCTGGCGGTGTTGAGGAGAGCCATGGATGATGTGAATGTTTGAGATGCTATCGCATACAGCTTGGTGAGCAGCAAAGAAAGAGCACACTAGTGCGTGTTGTGTCTGCGAGGAGTAAGTTCAATCGTCAGGTCTTTTTACTGGAATCGCAGTCTATATGAAAGCTATGGAGTTCCGGAGCTCAAGGACAGCACATGGGGAAGCTGCCCATATTGCGGCGGACATCAAAGCTTCTGATTGGCGTACTCGATGTAGAGGACTTGCGCAGATCGCTCTCGACTGTCTTGGCGCATGCGAATGGTGTTGAGGGGTAGCTCGATGGGGGATAGAACGCCTGGATTAAGCGAACTGCGAGTGGAGAGTTCGTCTTCGCAGCGGCGACTGTCCCCTACTTACCATACATGTATGATGTAGCCTACCTACCGCATCGAGTTCGATAATGGATTTACGAGATACAGCAGTCTTGAAGATCAGCTTCACTGGCCGCGGGCTGTCTTACGCGTTCGTTTGCTAGTCTGGGGCGTCACGGCTAGGCACCCGTTGAATATTAAAGGACTGCGAAAGTCGCCTTGGAGTGGAGGTCTGTGTAACGAAAGGTTTTAGAGTCGTAATGAGCTTTCTTTTGGACCTTCCTCTGGAGCTCTTTCGGCAGATTGTGGAGTGGGTTCCTGCACGATGTGACTGCTGCCGTCGGATCAGTTTGGATGTGGTGAAGATGTGTTTGGTGAACAGTACGTGCCCTCGAAATTTACGTGGCCCTTCTTACAAAGATTTCTTCGTTGACATATTCAGGTGTCTTTGAACAAGAGCTGTTCTCGATGTTAGCGAAGGAAAAGTTCCTTACTTCCGACAGTCCGCCTCTTTGCCAGCATGCTTCGTTGGACGATGACATGATCGAATTCTTGACCCGGTATATAGCAACGAAGCCATACGAAGACAACGCGGAGTCGAACGATCTTTTTCCGGCTTTCATCAACACGATCGTGGACAAGATAATGGAGCTCGATTGCCGGTCCGGGGATGCCGAAAAGGTCCGATACGGGCATATCAGAACCCTATTCCACCGCATAGCCAAGCGAGTCCATCTAAACGGCGGCCCAATACTTGACCGGGCTCCTCTACGATCGCCCTGGGAATCCGTGCTGGTCGCGGCCATCTACTTGGACAATCGAACCGTAATCGCTAAGCTGATGACGATGAAGAGATTCCTGTCATTGGAGAACAAAAGCGAGGTTTCGCATCGCGCCTTGATGGCGGCCGTATGGATGGAGAATCTGGACCTCACTCGAACACTACTCGAACGCGGTGCATGGCCAGCTCGAGAAGAGGCGTCAATATACAGGTCATGCTTTGACACCGCAGTACAGGCGAGCAACGCGGAAGAAGTCGTGCCAATGCTACTGGACGCGTGTGAGTGTCGCCCAAACCGAGTTACAATGGCGATACCATTAGCTTTTGAGCTGGGAAAACTTGCGGTGGCTACCAGCCTCTGCAGCTTTAGTAACCGTGACCTCACTCTCGCTCTATGCGAGAATGGATGGCAGCATGGCCTTGAAGAGTTGAGGCACCAAGGGTTCCAACCTGCACTTTGCATGTCGCACATGACGATCACAAGACATGACTACTACATGGCAGCCGCACAGGGTGGTCATGTCAGCTCAGCTCGCATGTTGCTAGAGGCCGGGGAAAAGCTCACCCAGGTACAAGGGTTGAGCCTTCTTCTACACGCAGCACCGACGCCGCGCGCTACTGAGGTTATTCGCTACCTCCTAGATTGCGGCGCGATCAGAGTCGACCAGAGGAACGAGTACGACGAGCAGGTGGCTAATACACGAGTGGCCTACTGCATGATGCTTGCAGCGCAGCGCGGAAACATCGGGTTTATCGAGGCTCTGGTGCGGCATGGTGTGCCTGTTGACGACGAAGACGACGAAGAGTTCTACAAAGACGACGATGTTCCACCACCAATCATTGCCGCAATGGCGTTTCGGCAGACTGAGACTGTGGTGGCTTTGAAGAGGCTTGGGGCTCGAGACAGGGACCCGATGGACTCGATCATCGCGCGGCATTTCGAGAGCGGGAAGTATCCGTGCGATCCGGAGACAGTCTCGAACAGTAACACGACATACTACGAGCTGTTTCAGCATGTGAAGATAAGAACATCGTATGAGGATCGGGTTCCTTACCTCATAGAACACTATTTATGAAGTAGGGTTCAAGTGAATCTGACGCGATATGATGTAGTTGGTAGGTAGTATGCTTGTTCAACGTCAGCATGAATTGGAAAGTCATGTTCAACAGCGAGCGTGAAGAGAGAATCCTTTCCTAGGTAACTCCTTAACGGATCGAAGCATATTCGAGAAAAGCTACTGTTCACCAACTTCAGTTGTCTTGTCGCATTCCGCTGATTCCTCTTTCTTTCAGTGCTACTGACCACCTGTTCTCTTGCCCTTCACCGCTGCACTGGGCAATGTATCCTCTCCTTCCTGTTCTTTAGACTCTCGTGTCGACTCATCGCCTAGTCCCATGTTGATTCGTGAGGCCGTTGGAACAGATCGATGCGTGACCATGCTAAAGCAGTGCTACTGTCACCGTTAGTGTGCTCCTAGCTGGCTGCTCACAGCGATGACAACGCATAACGTTATGTTCATAGCGTGTTCACAGGTAGATTTAGGTAGCAATATAAGTTGTGGTCAAGGAAGTCGCGAAGAGCTGCTGCTGCGCCCTGGGGCATCAGAGTTTGCCAAAGCAAAACTTTTCCTACTCGCTCTAGAGTAGTGCTCGCCTTCTCCTAACGCTCACCCTCTCGATACTCGCGCTCGAAAGATACCCGCCTTCTTTTCACAGCTTTCGCCATCATCGTTCGCTCTCTAGCTCTCGCTATCTGTCCACACTCATCCATCCTTGACGCTCACACATGAACCAGACGGTTAATAGATAGGGTACAGAGCAAAAGAAAGATTAGCAATAGTTGACTAGAGTGGTACCTACTACACATGTACATCTACAAAATGTATGCTATATGTAACTCCGTGATGTCAACCAAGAATCAGTTCATGTGATACAGGCTCAACTTCCGGCTTCAGCTCTGGAGCTAGGGGCACCACGTGATGGTTCTTGGCAGACGTCAGGGTAGATATCCAAAAAAAAATTCAAACAAAAAGTAAAGGAAGCCCGATACGGGGGTCGAACCCGTGACCTTGAGATTAAGAGTCTCACGCTCTACCGATTGAGCTAACCAGGCGGATGATTTGATTTATAGAATTTTTCACATTTTGTAAATATATATACATATCGACAGTTTTCTGCTATCCCCAGGCTAGTCACTAGCGTGCATGTGAAATGTCAATCTTCGTTTGTGGGTGGGGCTCGCTCCGATCTGCTCCGGACAGAAATCTTGGCATTATCATGGGATGCAGCTTAGTCAACATGGCCAGGCCGAGGCTTCTGTACTAAGATCATCGTTCTTGCACCTTTACACCCCACAACGAATACTACGCAAGCATGTTACCACGCTCCCGCAATACACGTCTTCGACCGTACTCGGACATGCAAGGTACGCTATCACGGAAAAGTATAGAGGCCAGGAAATTCTGGATAAATTGCTTGAGCAAGACATCTCATCGCAGAGAGAACACGCGTCAACCTTCGACCGCGTCTCTGAATGACGTGGTCTCGCAAAAACTTCTCTGATTAGGTCTATATACGAACACATCGGCTCAGAATTTATACCAGCTTACTGGTGCTTAAGTGGCGCCTCGTTTTGGGCAACTTAGTGGCTGATTTACGCTTCAGGTAGGACATAGCACGGCGTATTGCTGCAAACAGTGTGCGGATGCTATGCATGCGCCGCAACTTGTCAGCACAGTCATCTTGGACGACCAACGCCGCAGGATGATGCCTAACTCATACCATCGCTTAATTTCCTATTTCAGCTATTCCATTGTGCTGCGTTCCCTCATCAAGTTCCGGACCTTCCGGTTAACACTCGTACGTATCCACACGTACGGCTTAAACGATCGCGCGAAGGGACAACTCCCATGTCGAATGAACACCGGCTATCCTTCAAGAGATTGGAGGATTCTTCCTGTTCTAAGAGCTTCATCGTCGCATTACGCGTATACATGTCCGATTGAAACTGGCTGCGGTAACTTGACAGCTAGGCATTGTTCTCTAATTAAATCATCGATTATTGTGGCTGGTTGGGCAATGAGCAGCTACACGTACTCAGCTCGACACTCGTGGCTCTCATCTGAGGTAAATTCTTCACCGCAGCCGCGCGTAACAAAGGAGTAGTACCATTCCAGATGAGTAGGGGACTGAAGTATATCTTGATAGGGTTGATCGTCTCATCTCATTTAACCTCACTGCCTTGCATCAGCTAAAAGCATACCATTTGGACAGACCACATACTGAAAATCCGCTTCTTTCACTTTCCCATTACACATTGCCATTACACATTGTTCGTATTCCTCTTCCTCTTCGTCGCTGTACCTGAACCACCTCGAAATCTTGTCCGGGACTGTTTCTGGCTCGTTCGCTCTTGGCGGGTCGTTTTTTAAAGCCTGAAAGATTTTGGCCTTAAGTTTGGGTGCCATTTCTTTTCCGTGTTTCTGGTATCGTTTTGCGTGCCAGGCGGTTCGGAGTTGTCTCAGTTGTGGAGGGAAGTATCCAGGCTCTTCTTGATGTTTCTCTTGTCTGGAACGCCATTGTAGGTATTCCCTTTGATGTGTGCGGTAATGCTGTATCATCTGTGACCTCCGCTTTGAAGATGTTGGGCTTGATGGAGACATGGAAGAGACGCACACCGGTGGGCCGAGAACCAAATAAGAGGACATCTTTGGATCGATTTTATACAATAGCACACAGGGTGCACGCAGTATATGATGATCCTAACACCCCTTCAGATGTCATAGCGATATAGCGCGGTACCCTGCTGTAAGGATGAGTGCGAAGGCGGCCTACCCGTACGAGCCCGGGGTATACTATGTTATACAGATCGCGAGGATTGCAGTCCGCCACGTGCTTTACCGCTAATTCAATAAAGGTAACTTTCAAGCACTCAATTCCCACCGACCAAGGAGCCTGATTAGTGGCCTACTGTCGATGACGAGTTTACTTACGTGTTAACATACTTCGTGTTGCGGACGTTTGCCATTTGCCGTACTTACTGGGCTGATACCCGCCGCTGTGCGACCTTGTCCAACATACTTGCAAAACATACCAACAACAGCTAAAATCCTCCGAAAAGGAAAACAAGAGACAGTAAGAAGTGACGTCCCTTTAAGCAACTCATGCTGATATCCTGCCTCAACCGGACCAAAGAATTAAGCAAGAAAAGCATAGTATCTGCCAGGGGCCAAAGGCCACCAGCACGACGCAGCCAACTGCAGAGCTACATCCGAACCCTTACCGATTGGCAGAATGTTCAATATCAGCTTTTCCGCACGAGTATGGTTGCTTTGGATATAGTCCACTTAAATTTTTAGTTGGGACCACATAATGTCTTCCGTCCCAACTTCTGCGCAACGATAACCCAAGTTCATTTGTCTATGCAAAGACAACCACCGCCTCATCCTATACATTCGTTCCACTAGTATCCACCAAAGCCGACTACAGAGACATCATGCACTTTCCCAAAACCTTGGGTAAGCGTCTAAAGCTTTTATGTCCTCACACTGTTCTTCGTCTAGTTCACTATCTGAAGCTAACGAGCGCAATAGTTTCCGCTTGCGGTCTCGCGATATCTACGAATGCGTTTGCGATGTCCACAGGCAACATGCTCGGATTAGTCCCTCGAGATGGCGATCCATGCTCTCTAGCTGACTCGCCTAACGTCAATGCCAGCATCCAGCTCTCTAGCTGGCTGGAATGTCAAGTCAATGGTCAGCCTTATATTTAACTCTTTCAGTGTACCACAGTAACTCACACTTCCCAGGATTTTTTCCATTCCCAGCTAATGGCGCTTGGGATGAGGTCTACGCGAACGCCTTCTCGAAAGACGTGATAGCGAGCTTCAACGACACCCGTTTCAACTACGACGGCTGGCTTGAGCTTTACCACAACTTCAATGTCTCTCTTGGTCGCAACTTTGAGCCCTTCAAGCATGGCTTCATAAGTACTACGGCCATTCCAAATATGAACGGCGATAAGGGCGGCTTCGGCTATCTGATCGGCTGGGAAGGAGGACTTCACACAGCCTTGAAGCGCGACTGTAAGTGAACCCCACGCATACAGTCCACGATGCATATGCTACAGCGTGCTACTCCGTGCTCGGAGGTGTTGTTTTAGTCGTATTGTTCCATTCCTGGTTTGGACAACTGCTAATATTTCCGGCATCTAGTATGGTTTACGGACGCGTCCTTTATTGTGGTCAAGGAGGTCAATGGACAGAGGAAAATTGTCGAAATGAGAGAATCCGCCAACATTCCGAATAGTGCACCTCTACCCGAACAGGACCCATGGACTTGTGCTTTCGCGTGAGGCGCCGGCTGGATGACTGATCACTTTGGAGTTCAAAGTTTCTGAATATACGCAGTAGAAGCAATGCGATGCTGAGTTTGGCTAATTGCTATTTCCCATCTCCATGTCTGCGAACTCGCCTATTATATCGTACGTTACTGAACATGTATCGACCGGGCTCTCAGACCTAAGGCAAGCTCAGTCGGACACTCAGAGTTCAGTGCGCAGTACGATACGTACGGTAAGCGTTGGGTAAATTTATATTTTCTTCTCTCCAGTGACACATCCGTGATTGTCACTTGCAATATTTGGATCGACGTCGGAGCTAAGATAAGTAATCATTAGCAGCGCATTGGAACCCGCAACTAACTCGTACGAAAGACAACCAACGCCCAACCGCTATGACCCTACAAAATGGCCGACGATACTTTGGCGAGACCACCGAGTGCTTCAAAGGCTGACATAAGTCCGGCCTACAGTACACTTCCTGCAAGCATTAAGAACCTGTGCTTCCAAATCAGCGACCAGACGAAAACGAATACTGTGCTTTTTGTCCAAGTCGGAAGATTCGATCCTACGCCCTGAAGCTTATGAACGGAATGAATGAACTAAAGAAATCCGAATCCCGTCTGGATATGTATGCAGGTCAGTGTACCGAGGTGGTCGACTCTTAATGATCCTTCGCTGTACGTCGTTTCGAGACTCGGCGCTCCGCAAGTTGCAACATGGTTTCCGCGGACCATCCGAGTTTGAGGAACTCGCTCCACTTGGATCACGATATCGCCGTTGTACTGTCGACATAGAAGGCTCCTAAGAAAAAGTTGCGATTCATGGAAAATGGAGTATCAGATGCTTCGAAAAAGGAGAACGGCATCTAACGGCTTCGTTTCTCGACATCGAGGCAGAACTGGATATAACAATAGACTCGCCATGAGCTTTACAGCACTCACGAGCACTCGGGCCATTAGTTGATGTCGTGTTGAAGGGGCAGGAATCCACCCAGTGCGATCTGAAGACGGTCAAGAGCCGGAAGTGGACATCCAGCATACACCACTCCTGAGCTTCACCGTGCAATCAATTGCCTGAAAAGTAGTTTACAGCCCATGATACGCTCCCAGTAAAGATGCGACGGTTCCGCCATCCAACCGCAAAGCTGCAGGGTGAACTAATGCTGCTGTAGAATACTTCCCTCGCTCGTATGCGCAAGATAGCCATTGTTCTGTGGTTCTGACGAAAACGGGGCCTGGCACTAAGGTCACTCACTGGACAGCCATACGGAACCCCACTCGATGACTATGGGAATGCCTATGGTGATCATGAGCCTTGATATGGAGATGACAACGCGTATAGAAGAGCGGCCCATGTTGTCGTAGCTCAAGTGGCTAGTCATCTCGTAAGATGTATACATATAGCCTGTTCGAGACATCCAGTGTTGTACGAGTTGGCAAGCCCAATGCCACTCGAGTAACAGGCTTCCTGGGGTATTTAAAAGCGCTGTGTTGAGATAAAATAGTTCGTGTCGTCATAATCCTTCGTAAAACTGCGTAACGTAACATAACATACACATACCCAAGCGCCGACTTGCTATCGACCTGCCCAGGCATGCATCCACCAAATAACCCCACACATCCCCCAACACACCTCCCCTCCGCCTCCCAGTCTCCACCTCCTAGTCCGGCATCTCTCCCCCCCGCCCATTTTCCACCCCATCATTACCCTCCGCACCCGCATCCTCGAAACACCTAACCCACTCGAACCGACCCTTAGTAGGGTCCATGATAG